CCTAGTGTCTATGGGTACCTTGGGTAGATGGTGGAGACTTGAATGGGCAGTGAAGGAATCAGCCTTTCCAAGTAAATGCAGTGGCCAACCAGGCCAAGGAAACAATTGGATTCATTTTAAACACCAGTCTGTCACTGTCTGTGGAATCACTTCTCATTTCAAGTCCAGTTCTGGGGCATGAGAAGAAAACAAACAAAGATAGCAAGAAGTCTGCTACATTAAATTCAACTGGATAGATTGGTTGACCGAATACCTACCCATCAAAGAAGTCAAAAATAGCTCAAATTCACCTTGATCTGATGTCCTTATCTGTTGAAAAATTGTATTGTAATAGTCTAAATGCACACCTTCATTGCCTTACAGAAGTGAAGCTCTTGCTGTATAGTTTAAAGCCAAGTGTCATGCGTCTCACCAGGGCTGGAAAAGTCCAATTTTTTTCTGAAATATCACAGCTCTAATGTAATGTATTTTTGTTTGATTGAAAAATTGTGGTTTGCACTCCGCAAATATGTCATTTCATAAAATTTTCTAACTTCTGCAATCCACACCTTTTCAACGATCCAGCCAAAATATCCTGCACAACAAAACAAGTCAACCAAAAATGTTTCTTTATAGATCACGTAGTTGGGGTCATGTCAGAGCAGTCAGACTGCATTATCACATGATCAGTTGCCTTTCAATTGAAGACAAATGTTAGTGTTGACTGTTTTTAGGGTAAAATTAGAGATTAGGAGTAACATGGGCACAGGACTTAGTAAAAATTTCACGGCTGCCGGCTCCGGTAGCTTGTAAATGGATTTTAATGGCTGAGATATGAAATTCATGGCTCAAAGAAATTAAGTCATGGCTCAGAGAAATGGAATCACAGTTGGCAAATCCATAAAAAAACAGCTCCAAAAATTTTATTTTATTTTATTTTTTTCTTTTCTTTTTTTAATAAGGCCTCCCTCACTCACCATTCCAACAAAAAGGAATTAATTTTATTAATTAAAAACAGGGAATGGTTTCATGTCACACCTTAACGCCTCTGATGGGTGACATGAATTCTCTGCCTCTGACAACCTTAACGCCTCTGATGGTGGCCTACACCGACTCCAAGAGTCACCGAGCTGTGACGCGAGTGAGGAGCGGGCCCACGTCAAACTTTTCTCTAACTGCCTTTAGGATGCTGGCTGCATTGCCTCTTTGCACTGCCAAACCCAACCTTTGCTCCAACCATAAAGTCTCTCTGCGTTCACCGGACAATTCCGTTATGCGACGACCAATCTCTGATATTAAAGGGCCAGTCGTTTCACCATATGCACCCGTCGTTTCTAATGCGACTGGCTCGAACCNGGAGACGCCCTCCTCGTGGAGTGGGGCACCCAGTAAAAGTGATTCATGGGCGGGAACAACTTTTAGTGTTGGCAACACCCCCCGAAACATCTCCCTAGTCTCGAGCTCTTTCTCCCTTGTATGGTTCAGTATGATCAGTTCACACTTCCCCTGGTTTACCTCCAGCCCTACAGCTCTAAAGCTCCAAAAATTCAGCCATGATTCGCCAAGTAGATATATACCCTGACTGCATCTCACTGAGACTTAGGTCAAGGATGCATGCCTTCTAACTTTTATAGGATATCATTATCTTAGGGGCCTGGGCTAATAGAACTGCACATGGTATATGCATCCTGGTTCACCAGTCACTGTCGCTCTGCTTCCAGGAGATAACTCAGTTTCTGGAATATTTCTGTTGCCACAACCCACAAATATGTCTGTTGCCTTGTAGCTTGAATCTGTCTTGCCACATAGCTGGAATCAGTGAAAGGAATAAAGGCTGAGGGAATGATAGCAGATGATAGATGGCAGCTACAGTGGGGGAAAATAAATATTCGCACACTTGAAAAATCGTATTTTAATGTATGTAAGTACACAAACTTAACAGGAAAAGTAATTTAAATTATGTATAGAGACGCATAGTATTCAAAAATACTATCAAAAGAAATTAAATCTCAATGCAACAAAAAACAATGCAACATGTTCACTTTTCGGGGTGAAAAAAGTATTCGTACAAAACAATAAATCCGCATTATTTTAATTTAATACTTGGTTGAATACCCTTTATTCCTGTCTCTTATACACATCTAGATGTGTATAAGAGACAGATACTATGCGTCTCTATACATAATTTAAATCACTTTTCCTGTTAAGTTTGTGTACTTACATACATTAAAATACGATTTTTCAAGTGTACAAATATTTATTTCCCCCCACTGTATCTATCATCTGTTGGAATGATAGATGGCTGCTTGTCTGCAGTATATTGTTGATTGCATGAAGCTTCTGTTGTTGTTGTTAGTTGCCAGGATCTGCCACTTGGTGCCAGTCAGCAGCAGCTCTGTGGGAGGAAGAGGGAGCAGAGGATCCATTCCATGGATGTCGGAGAAGAATGGGAGTAATGAGAGGAATGCCACAGTCAGTCCAGGATTAGACCAGAGGTCCAGTGGGGTTAGTGAGATGGGGTGTGATGAGCAGCTCAAGAGGTAATGGGTGGTGTGATCCATTATGGTGTGCACTCAGGGCAGAGAGGGATATTTGCTGCTCCAATGCTGGCAAGGTACTAGTTGAGACAAGATGAGTAGCCAGAGAAGCTTCTCCTCCTCCAGAGCTCTTGTCATCAAGTCAATGTTGATTTTGACAACAGCCAGGCATCATGGGTGTTCTCTTTGGACTAGGGAGTTACATACATACTGCTCAAGCAGCATCTAAGGTACATATGTTTGATTGTTCATATAGACCTGCAGGGAGCCTTTTTGATAAAGGATGGATTGATTTACTTCTCTACAAGATGGACTAAGTGGACAGAGCCTCTCACTCTGCTCGCATTAGAGTGGCTGGATAGCACTCCATCCACTGATGATATCACCATTTGTTGCTGAAGCCTAACTATGCATGCTGCCAAATGGATTGCACTCCATCCACCTCTGCCCTTGCTGGCATGGGTGCCCCAAGGTGCTTTATTAAGTCCTCTTCTTTTCAAGCTTATGCTAATGGATGTTCTGCAGCTTGCAGGCATATAGGTGTTGCTGTATGCTGATGATATCAGCATTTGTTGCTAAAGCCTAACTATGCATGCTGTCAAATCTCTCATGCACAGATACTTGAATGAATTCCATTCATACTGTAAAAGATGGGGCTTTGTTGTGAACATCCAAAAACTGTCTTCCAGTACTCTAATACTAAACGAGTGAAGATACCAGTACTGTGGCATCATCACCAAGCCATCACATACCAACACCAGCATAAGCTACTCAGAACGATACTTGATGCCTCATGCCTCAAGTGGATCCGTCATCTCACTTACCTGCAGTTTGATAAGATGTGACGTATGGATTTGCTAATGGATATGGCTTCCCTTAACTGGGATGCAAGTTCCTCTTTCTTGCGCCTAGTTTACTTTTCATTTATTTGGGCCAAGATAGATTATGGAAGTATACTTTATGGAACAGCTTTTTCTGCCCAACTAAAGCAGCTTGAAATCCTGCAGAATGCCTGTCCATGGCTAACACTTGGACCTCAATTGACCACACCCTAATAAAACTCAATTTTAAAACGTTTGAAGCATGCAGAGTGTACTCATCCTTTATTAACAGTACTGTGAAGTCCTCTTTCTTTGTAGATGATGTAGATGTAGAATAAATGACATTACTGTACTGAGATTTTCACTAGTTTTTCATTTATTGATATGATTTATCATACCCAGACATTACCATAGTATTGATTTGATGTTAACATATCCATGGACATGACAGCATTGACAAGGACCTTGTTCACTGCATGCTTCATATCAGCAGCCATATAGCATTTCTTCTGTATCTGTAAGCTTACAAGACAGCTTGCAATTTTGCACCATTTTTATTGGGTCAAGTGAATTCACTAACAAAAAAAAAAGATTATAAAAACATATCTGAAACAGAAAGGAATATTTTACTGACAACCATCATATTTTTTGGAGAAATAAATCATAGTTTAGGTCAAGTCTTTTCAGTCTATGTTGCCCAGTGCACAATTCTATCCATGACATTCTATGCATAATTTTGTGATGACAAATGATGCATAAATTTTTTTGTTGAGTGGAAAATAAACCAACACCTGTGTGCAACTTTTATGCGTATAAAATTTTTTAATATGGCACATTTTTTTTGCTATGGACCTTAGCAGAGGTACTTTTTAGCGCATTTTCTCATTTATGGAAAAAATGCACTATTGTGCTAGCCATGTCCATCTGTCTGTCCGTCTGTCCGTCCGTCTGTCTGTCTGTCCATGACCTCAAGTTTTTTTTGACGAGAAAATGCGCTCTCTGTCACTCACTGCAGTGAGTACTGAGTTATATTTTTCAAAATTTTGCTTGTCATATCTTTTTTCATGGATTTTTTAGAGGTGCAGAGTAAATATATTATTTGTTAACTTGATTTATGCTACATAGATAGGAAAAATGTTGAACTTTATGTCACTACAGTAATTTTAGTTATGCAATATTTCAATTAGTTTAGCTACTACAAGTGGACTACAACTGGAGGACTGTACCAATTTACTCCACCTGTCTCTTATTACCCTGTTTGACTGCAGTGCAATAAGCATTTAGAAGTACAGAGGCAGCTTATGTTAATGTCACTTGTTAGTAGTCCTATTGGAGTTGTCACTCAAGTTTAGTGGTTGCTTATGCCACATTAATAGCATTCTGTTTAGAAAGTTTATGGTAGCCTTAGCCAACTTATTAGGTTAGTTTCCTTATACCCACTATATGGTACACACTTGTGTCACCAAGATCAAATTTTTATGCTTAAAATACTGACAGCATTATTAATGATGTCTGCAAAACTACCTAGACCTTCAAGATATTTTGCCAAAAATACATGTAAAGAGGTGTTTATAGAGTTAAGAGTAATGTGTTTGAAAGATCTTTAGAAAATGTGAATTTTGATACTGATGTGTTGCCAAAGGTCTTTAGGTATTTGCTTACTCTCTGCAATTTGGCTTGTTGCAGATGCTTTAGAAGTTATTCAATTACCTATTCATTTTGTATGATACTGTGAAAATTTCAGCATGTCCTGCTTACAAGTATTGAGACAAGCTTACAGTGGCAGCAGCGGTGCACTGCGATGCTGTGCTGCACTCACTTGCAGTTTGCTTCCTCAATTACCAACTCATAAGGTAAGTGGCACAACCCATTTAACAAATGAAATTATAGAACAAAATAAGGTAAATATAGTGGCTTCTTTTGCATTCTCTTGGCTGCTTGACAGTTCCATTCAATATCTTTTATGTGTAGTACGGTATGTAATTATGGTGGCATTGATGGTGCCAGCTTTGTGTGTTCAAAAGAATTAAAACTTTTAAAAAATTTTGGACAAAATTGTTTCCATTTGCCACTATGGAAGAAATTTATTTTTTTTTTTGCTTACCTTTTATACAAATTGATGAATTCTGATTTCCATGAAAACATTAGTTGCAGCAATGAAAGGAATTTTGAACTGCTGAGAGGTTTGAAAAATCTCCTATCTACTTCATAGCTAGAGGCAGAGTATATATGTGCTAATATATAGGTATGTATCACGTATGTAGTGTGGGATTAAGTAAAGAAAAGAGTACCAAGTTGAGTTATTTTAGTAAGAAAAATTCAATGCATTAGCCAATATTCTATAGTATGATCTGTTGTTTAATCCATTCTGGAAGTAAAATTGTCTGTATATATTTATATATATATATCAAGGACTACTACACACAGGACATGCATAGCCTNGCTGGACATAGGCTATGCATGTCCTGTGTGTAGTAGTCCTTGATATATATATATATATTTGTTGTTGGAAATACCATACATACCTATATATTTATATATATGCATAAGTTGGGGTATTGTGCAATGATTTTTGAGTAATAGTGCGACATGCCTGTAATATTTGGATCAAAACGTGAGGCATACTTTTGATAATAGTGCAACATTTTTTGGCATATTGTGTGACAAAATGTCACACAATTACTGTCTTGGAATGTACCAATGTTATAGAATCTACCTATGATTAGCATTTACTAATAGCTTGACACAAAAAAGACAAACGCTATTATGCAACATGCTAATTAACAAAAATCTCATTAGGTTACAGTTAGAATTAGGGTTAGAAGTGTGAAAAAATGATTTTTAGACACTTTTTTACAATTTTGCTAAGGTTAAGTCAAGCCAGGAAAGATTCTTTTACCTTTAATAACTAATTGAAAAACGTCAATTAATAACTCATGGAATTACCAATGTACATCTTTATATATATACCGGTACCTATATATATTTAAATGATGCATAGATTATTTTTTGCCACAAAAATACAATTGCATGCCATGTGTTAATTTAATTAACCTTGCTTTGTCTTATTCCCTGAAATTCCTCAAATTGATGGCTACAATTTTCAACCATTGTTGTAGGTATATATCTATGTCATTTTTATATTCTTTTCATTACCTATCTTAGCCAGTCAGTCTTACGCATTCTAATCTTGTGCTAATTTATTATTATATTTGAAGATTTCATCTTAAATTTTTCTCATCATTTTTTAATATTTCAGAGAAATGCTTCCAGCAGAAGCTCTGAGGACCGTCCAAACTTTCCAGGCTCCAAGTCAAGCTGGACGGAGAAACTCGAGTTCGTACAACCTGATCTTTATGACGGCATTCCTGTGTACCGAGTCATGGATACCAAAGGCAAGATCATCTCTCCTGACCACGACCCTCAGGTATATTGTATAGGAGAGATATACTAGGTATAGGAGATATATTAGGTATAGGAGAGATATACTCAGATCATTAGTTAGTATATCTCTCCTGACCACGACCCTCAGGTATATTGCAAGCTAATGGAGCTTAGCTATTTACATTAGATGGGTGATGGGCCTTCTGCATTTATTATGATGCTGAAATTTAAAGGACCATATTTTAATAATTTTCAGTAATTACTAAATGATTTACATGACTGCCATGATACATATCTCATTAACTTCATGAATAAACTATGGTAACAAGGATTGTCGGCTGTATGATGGAGGCTTTTCCATTATGTACAATTTTCCACTAATAAGTTCAAACATGTGATAATTAATGTTACCATATACCTATATTTTATATTTGTTACAAACCAAGTTCAGAATTCCAATTCGTCAATTATCTTGTTTTATTAACATAGGTATGGTGTCTTTTTTACTGATTTTCAATATACATTGCTGATATTGCTCAAATGCTTCTATAGTTTCCTGAATTGTTAAGAAATATTTAACTTAAAATCTATATTGCAGTTACCAAAAGAAATGCTGGTGAAAATGTATGAGAAGATGACAACACTCAACATGATGGACCGCATCCTTTACGAGTCTCAGCGTCAGGGCCGCATCAGCTTCTACATGACAAGTTACGGAGAGGAGGGAACACACATCGGCTCAGCGGCTGCCCTTGAGGAGAAGGACTGGATCTACGGCCAGTATAGAGAAGCAGGTATGTGGGTCTATGACCAGTATAGGGAGGCAGGTCTGTGGGTCTACGGCCAGTATAGAGAAGCAGGTCTGTGGGTCTATGGCCAGTATAGGGAGGCAGGTCTGTGGGTTTATGGCCAGTATAGGGAGGCAGGTCTGTGGGTCTATGGCCAGTATAGAGAGGCAGGTCTGTGAGTCTATGGCCAGTATAGAGAAGCAGGTCTGTGGGTCTACGGCCAGTATAGGGAGGCAGGTCTGTGGGTCTATGGTCAGTATAGGGAGGCAGGTCTGTGGGTCTATGGCCAGTATAGGGAGGCAGGTCTGTGGGTCTATGACCAGTATAGGGAGGCAGGTCTGTGGGTCTATGACCAATTGACCAGTATAGGGAGGCAGGTCTGTTGGTCTATGGCCAGTATAGAGAAGCAGGTCTGTGGGTCTACAGCCAGTATAGGGAGGCAGGTCTGTGGGTCTACGGCCAGTATAGGGAGGCAGGACTGAGGGTCTGTGTCTATGGTCATTACAAAGCTCGCATGTGATTTTAATATTTGCCTACTATCTAATATACTTATTGGTATATATCTTTAATGAACTTTTTTATTTTGATACCCTACAAGATTAATATCTGTGCATGAATGTCTTGCTTCTCATTAGTACTGTTATTAAAAATGCAAAGAATTTTCTGCATTGGTGTTATAAATTGAAAGTAATTGTAAATGTAGCAAAATCTTCATATATTTTAGAGTAAAGACATGTGCTTTGGCCATATTTATTTTATTTGCTTGACCACTTGAAACTCAATTCAAAATTCATTTTGAATACAAATACATTTCATTGAAAAAAATAGTTGGAATTTTCCTGAAATTTCAAATCAAGATGCAGGTGCAGTGTTGAATTGTTCCCTCTTTAATTGAAATTAGTCAAGTTTGAAAATTTTATAAAAGAGGTCAGAAGATTGTATCTGTCTCTTATACACATCTAGATGTGTATAAGAGACAGAATCTATACACTGCGTCCCTACTCCCTATGCGCTCCACGGCGCCTGAACTCTTTCCGAACGCGTAATAAACTCTACTCATATTCGTACGGTTCCCATAAGTGCCATCGAAGCCTTAGTTAAGACTTAAGAGTTACATTTGTGACTCAATACTCAGCCATGCATACATCGACAGGTTTGCGGTGTTTGTCGGACCACTAATTAACTGCCATGTCAGTTAGTCAGACAAAAGATGTGTATAAGAGACAGGTCTACTTTATTGCAGGTGTGCATTCCGATGAAAATAGGGCTAACACAGTAATGACATACTACATACATTTCTACNAAAATAACACCTGTTACAGCCGTAACAACGGGTACGCCATCTCGACACCGACGCACGAACAATACCGTGGAGACGGTGTTGCCGCGCGCGGTCCCTCGTACGGTATTGCGACGATCAGGGTAGACGGCAACGACGTGCTCGCCGTCTACAACGTCACTAAAGCCGCCAGGCAGATCGCAGTCCAAGAGAACAGACCTGTTCTCATCGAGGCCATGACCTACAGGTGAGCTTGTTCTCAACTTGTGCTACCATTCATTTATGAATATTTATCATCTTCCTAAATCCTAAACCTGTAATCCTTAACCTGTAAACCTAAACTTGTAAACCTAAACCTGCCAACCTAAACCTGTAAACCTAAACCTGTAAACCTAAACCTGTAAACCTAAACCTGTAAACCTAAACTTGTAAACCTAAACCTAAACCTTCCAACCTAGACCTCTAAACCTAAATCTGTAAACCTAAACCTGTAAACCTAAACCTGTAAATCTAAACTTGTAAACCTAAACCTAAACCTTCCAACCTAAACCTGTAAACCTAAACTTGTAAACCTAAACTTGTAAACCTAAACCTGTAAACCTAAACCTGTAAACCTAAACCTGTAAACCTAAACCTGTAAACCTAAACGAGAACAGACCTGTTCTCATCGAGGCCATGACCTACAGGTGCGCTTGGCATAAACTTGTGTTCTTAACTTGTGCTACCATTCATTTGTTTATTATCTTGTTCCTAAATCTATCTTCTGATAGTTAAAAGTTGAGTTAGTTCAATTGTTTTCCGCATGAGACCTACAGGTGCGCTTGGCTTTAACTTGTGTTCTCAACTTGTGCTACCATTCATTTATGAATATTTATCATGTTCCTAAATCCTAAACCTATCTTGTGATAGTTAAAAGTTCAGTTAATTCAATTGTTTTCCGCATGAATTGATGTACGAGTTGTTCCTAAGTTCTAAAAGGAATCTTGTGATAGTTAATATTTCCGTTAGTTCTATTGTTGTACTTTTGGTGCAGTTCCAAGAGTTAGTTCTAAATTTAGAGGATTCTCACTACTTGTCATTCCAATATTGTCATTCATATCTCACTTATTGTGTTTTGGTCTCCGTTTTAAATGATCAGAAAGCTGTGGTCATTTATCATTACCGTCTTGGAAGTCCATGACAAGGTTTGGATACTTCTGCTATTTTTAAAGCCAAGGCATATTTTAATGTTATTTTAAAGGCAAGGCTTTTGTTGCCAACATATGCCCGTCTATAACGCATTGCGTAACAATGGCCAAACTTTCACTCTGGTTTATCCGAACCTGTTTCCAAAGAATCCTATTACACCACGCAGTTCATCGTGTGTCTCGAACCTCTATTGCTCCTAGATCAAGAACCAGTGATATTGACACACAGCTTTGTGTGTAGTTGCATTGGAGGCTGAATGTGTGTGTGAACAATACCCATCTACCATCCTAGTAGGTATACCCATCTACCATCCTACTATACCCATCTACCATCCTACAAAACCCATCTACCATCCTACTATACCCATCTACCATCCTACAAAGCCCATCTACCATCCTACAATACCCATCTACCGTCCCGTAGTATGAACGCATTTTTGGTATAGTGCGTTCATATTACGGGACGGTAGATGGGTATTGTAGGACGGTAGATGGTATTGTAGGAAGGTAGATGGGTATTATAAGACAGTAGACGGTGTAATGCAGACTGTTGATGTATGACGACGTGTCCATGCCCCCAGGATCGGGCATCACTCGACATCAGACGACAGCTCGGCGTACCGCAGCGTAGACGAGGTGCGTCACTGGGACAGCACGCAGCACCCAATAGCGCGCCTCCGCACCTACATGGCAGACCGCGGCTACTGGGACGACGCTAGGGACAAACGCTGGAAGGAGGACTGTCAGAAGCAGGTACATAGGGCCGCCATGTGATGTCTGGGTGAGCCATGTGATGTCTGGGTGCTTAGGCTAGGGCTGCCATGTGATGTCTGGGTGCTTAGGACTGCCATGTGATGTCTGGGTGCTTATGGCTGCCATGTGATGTCTGGGTGCTTAGGACTGGCATGTGATGTCTGGGTGCTTATGGCTGCCATGTGATGTCTGAGTGCTTAGGGCTGCCATGTGATGTCTGGGTGCTTAGGGCTGCCATGTGATGTCTGGGTGTTAGGGCTGCCATGTGATGTCGGGGTGCTTATGGCTGCCATGTGATGTCTGGGTGCTTAGGGCTGCCATGTGATGTCTGGGTGTTAGGGCTGCCATGTGATGTCTGGGTGCTTATGGCTGCAATGTGGTGTCTGGGTGCTTAGGGCTGCCATGTGATGTCTGGGTGCTTAGGGCTGCCATGTGATGTCTGGGTGCTTAGGGCTGCCATG